GGAATGAAGTGATTGTAGGCTTTGTTATTTGTGGATCTACTTTTTTTTTCAGGCCACAGACAGGAATAACAGTTGCCCTCAATGACTGTGATTATGATGTACTGGAGACTCTGGAGGAAGACTATTAGATTATCCAACAGGAGCTGACATTAGTGATAAAACTCACCTTACATTTCCCACTAATGACACTGAGCAGGAAACTTTGAACCACTAACATTAAGCCCAATTTTTCCAGACGACCTGAATAAAGTCATCCTGACAGAGAGAGCAGGATGTTATTGTACGATCTGTGAATGATTGCATGGCGATAGTCCACTGACAGTCATTATTTCCCTGTAGCAGCAGTGGTGAGGGGAGTAAACATCTGGTGGAAAATCAGCCAAGTCAAATGATCCCCCCTCTGAATGGATGGAACGGATTTAGCCACATTCATGCCCATGTTGAGTGTTGTTTGCTTTTTTCGTGTCAATTATCTGCTTCCACAACAGAGGCAATTAGAGATGAACTTTCCAGAAATGGACATGGTTTTCCAAGAAAAAAAGTCCCCGATGCAGAAATCAATAGCCTGATCTTGTTTTCAAACATGATTCTTATAGATTACAACCCTCCTCCTACTCTGCAGCTGAAACTGGAGAAGAATCCAGCCCCCCCTTTCTGTGCTGAGCACTTATGCTGGACAGGGCTTATGTTGGGAACAGTGATTTTTTTAAGTTATCCAGTTTATAACTGCAATGTTGTATCACAGGAGACATCTATTTTCAGATCTCAGTCCTACATGATTAGGGAGTGTGTGTCTGCCTACCTCTGAGCTCCACTGAGGGTTGACCGTGTTGCTCACCACTCCCGAGCGTTTCTCCTGGCCATGGTGGGGCAGGGAGGGGAAGATGCTGTGTTTACCAGGCTGGATGGAGAGTTTCAGATAGGGGTCGGGATTAAAGAACATCCCCTTCTTCAGTCCAACTGCCTGGAGGTCTGAGATGGTGAAAGGAAAGCTTGGTGAATGAAACAGATGTGCCTTCTTCTGATGGCTGCAGCAGATGTTCAGACACAGGCAGGCACCGTTAACCCCAAAAAAACAAGCTTGTATTGGATATATATATGTAAAAAGCCATCAGTGTGTCAGAATATGAGAAACGTGCAACCCTCACAATCTGGACTGTTTCCATTCACTTTCAAATAAAAAGTCCTAATGCTGTCAGCACCTGCTCCACAGTGGGTCTGAAGTGGCCAACTGGGGTCTAGAGAGATTTATTTATGTCCTCATACACAGTACTCAGATTAATTATGATCTCAGAAGATTCCACGTCACAAAGTTTCAGCTTTTGAATCCACTCTGGATTCAGCGTGTGAGGGCCTTAAACGAGAGTCTGCAGATGCTAACGGGGGGGATGACTGTTAGCAGAAGCTCTAAAACAGCACTGCACAGATGCTGTCAGGAGCACTCACACGAGGAGCTTGGCAGAATAAACAGTTCTCAACAAGAGGTTGACATTTCCAGCTTTGATAGTGATTTGATATAACAGATGTTGAAGGAATCACTGCTCCTGTTTCTCCTGTTACAAACCGTTTGGTGTGTCAGATTGTCTCATAGCCCAGCTCTATCTGAGAGAGGAAAAACATCCCTCAAGTAATAAATGAGTCAAACCTGAACAGAAACTGTATCATAACTCTAATGAATTTGCCGATATGTGAGAGATACAACTGAAAGTGCTCCAGACTGCTGCTAACATTAATCCCACATGTTCAAATCTGTTATAATAGTGGTCTTACAACTCTGACAAAAATGTTATAAAGAAATGTGTGAACTGAGGGATGACATAGGCAAACAGTTTGCAGCATGTGTGACGGTAACATGAGGCTGGAATGTTTTAATAATCACCAGACAAGCTTCCATGAAAATCATCCCTCATGACTCATGTAAATATAAGCTCATCATGAATGAGGAATGATTTACACGAGGATAGAGTGAGCAAGCAAACAGAGGACAGGAAAGAGAGAGATGTGTGTAACCGACCTGAGAGGGAGAAGTTAATGAGCCTCCTGTTGCCCAGGCCGTGGTTCACTTCAGGACTGACCACCGGCTTTAAGACCTGAGGACACAGACAGAAAGGTAAGGTAAGGATTGTTCAGAAAGCTAAAAAGCAGCTAAACAGCCCTGGTAGCTACCCCAAATGAAAAAAGAAACTCTTTGGTATAGAGCAGCTAAAATCCCCTCCTGTGATCTGACTCTTAATATGGAGCAAAGTGGGTTGCTGCAAACAAAAATAGAAAAATAAAAAACATTAGAATGAGCGGATAAGTCTTATAAGTATATATTTTGGAATTAGTAACCTAATGCTATTTTGGAATCAGTAACTGCATGCTCAGAAGAAGATATTTTTAAAGCTCAGTGCTGGTGAGGTTGACAGTATCCTGTGATCGATACGCCTTCATTAGCCATTGATTCTCTGGCCAGGAAGAGGAGGGCAGAGGGAATAGGGGAGAAGATGAAGGAGTGGATTATAGTTAATACTACTTTGTGTACCGTGCGATGGAAACACACATAAATACTTTCTGTACCTTACATTCTGAAAACAGGAATATGTATATCGACTCCTAATAAATGCCTCCTAACATCTCGATTTGTTCATTTGCAGTCATCTCCCCTCAATTTATTCTTACCCCAGTACATGTAACTACCATCGGGATGAGAGGAACTCTGGAAAAAGAAAAAAAAAGACGCTGTGGAGCTAATATGTCAAAGTGCTCAGCCCTCAGCTACTCTTACACGACTACAATCTGATGCATTTCGTCCACATGCCAGCAAGAATATCAAAGAATTTCTTTTCTAAAACAGCTTTTTTTCTATGTTCCTCCGTTGCTGAGTGCTTTTGAATGTTTTTGATTTCTTTGCAATTTTCATAAAAGAATTCTGACAACAATATAATATAAAAGTCTCTGTGCGCACTGTTTTTCTTGATTGTATTTAGCAAACATTCACTCGTTTTGAAGTTTTTGGCTGATGCGTGCTCCAGAAAGCAGGGACGGGGACATGTTTCCCCGTGTGTTGCATCACAACACTGAGTCAGCATTTGGAATCTTCACACACTGTTACTGAAGCTCTGAGGGGGAGTTCTTTTCTATTCCCTCCCTATGTAACAGCTGCTCTGGCCCCTAATGTCCCGTACTCTCGCAGATGTGCAGGTTACCGACAAACACAGGGTCAAATCTGGACTCCTCTGGCCACAGCACAGGTCTCTGCCAGCCCCTGTCAGATGAACCAAGTCCAGACTCAGTCTCAGAGTTTCCAGGTATTGATGACTGGCTTCCTCTTCATTAACCTCCCACCTGATCGTGACTGACCTACCACCATGTCGGTGGTGTTTTGAATTCAAAGCCACCAGAGGGGTCAAAGGTCATGGGTGTTATTTGGTGATTATGGGCCATACCAACTCTGTGCAGGTTTTTCTTTGAATTCTTTGAATCCTTTGAAGAAAATAATAAATTCCTGCATTCGTGACTGGTAAACATTATTCTTGAAATGTTGGACTAATTGCTCATAAAGTGGTGAACCTCATTCAGTCCGTGTCTGTGAATGACTGAGACTTTCAGGACACTTCTTTTATACCCAGTCATGACATTCGACTGTTAGATTAATCTAAACTTTAAAACAGAAATAAATCCAAAGCTTCCTTCATGTTAGGACTGATTAATTTAGCAACAGACGTTCTTTTCAAAGGGATTTAACCCTATAAAGCTTGACATAAGAAAAACTAAGGAGAAAAAATATCTTTTTAAAAATGATTTATTTTGGTCTAATGTTTTTTTTATTTGTTTAACAAAGTTTTTCTGCGCTTTTTTACTCTAAACTGAAATGCAAAAAATGAAATATTCTTTATTCCAGGATTTTTAAACAAAATGTCATGAAGATGCAAGAGGTCATGTCAACTCAGTATTACAGAACTCTCAGTGAGTTTTTACACACCACCACATGATGAAGAACGTAACGCTACAGAGCAGCAGCTGTCGGGGAATGTGATGTATTCTCTATTTTCATAAGACCTTTAGGCCTTTAATGTACCTTACTCAAAAGTTGACCAGGTGACAATCAGATGGTGATGTGTAGGGAGTACAATTGTGATTTATTTTACTGATGTAAAATACTGATGTATTGATTTATTTTGTTTCAAAATATTACAGAGGATGTGCACGTGCTACTGAGTGAGTTCTGAGGGTTTATGTAACTGGATGGAAAATATTACAATAGTTAAAAATGCCCGCGACCCCATGAGGGAATAAGCGGTATTGATAATGGATGGATGGATGGATAGTTAAAAATGCTAATTGAGAGGGAAACATCAACATAAAGGTCGTGAGATGTTAAAAGCAGTTCCTTGTCATCACAGGTTAATCTGCCTTGATGACTACATTTGTAGAGTGATGCGGATGGTGAGGACACTTAAAGTGATTCCTATCTCACAGAAAAGTGAACGCTAACCGAACCCATCTCCAATACACTCGGTGTTATCTACTACTATAGCCCAAACCTGCTCAAGACCATTTAGTCAGGCACTTGCAAAATAAAAGTATTCATGCCATTTATGAGTGTCTTAAAGTGTTGGGGGGATCTTAAAAGATGTAAGAGGAAAGCTATCTCACATAGCATCCTCAACTCAGCCATGACAAGCCTGGAAGAGACAGCTTACATTTACAGAATGGATCCTCATCTGATTACAGGTCAGATCCTCCAAGACTCCACTTCAGTGTGTGCTTCCAGAGGAAGCGTGCTCTAACTGGGTTAGTGCAGCTGCACGGTGAAGGAGGGGAGGTTATGTCAGCTCAGCTCTGGTGGGGGTTGGTTTCCATCATCTAACCTCCATCACATAGCCATCACACAGCCATAATATATCCATCACATATTCATCACATATCCATCACAGAGCCATCACACAGCCCTCACACAACCATCACACAATCATCACATATCCA